TTCTTCAGAGAAAACAAGGATGCCACACGACCAGAATGGTGGGAGGTGGCCCATGTAGAAGAGAAAAATGGGGCACTGTGATTACTCAGAAGACGAGTAATGAATGGAGCATGTTTTCATGAAAACGAATGTATTTCTGGAGTGAGCACTGCTTTGAATGGCCCCATATCAACCAGCAGTAAATTCTGCTTAAAGAGAGAGCCCTGTGGTTGTATGCAATATCCTACAGCACAGGTGGCAAACACAAGACCCACCGGCCAAATCCGGCCCCCCACCTTGTTTTGTCTGGTCGGGCACCTTGTGTCTACCCAGGGGAAGCACTGAGCTCCTTGCACTAGTTAAAGGAGTAGTTACATTTATACAGTTCTGACATTACATTCGGCCCTTTGAAGGCAACCTTGAGGCTGATGTGGCCCTCGGTGAAAATGAGTTTGACATCCTTGCTTTACAACGTGAAAACACTTAATGTAGCACATCCTGAGACCTCACGTTGCACTAAAGACAAGCATACTCACCATGTACACTACAATGAATCTTTGGCATTAATACTCTAGCTGTTCAAAAATATGAAAAGAAAGCAATTCATATACTATTATATAGCTGTTTGGGGGCTCGTATATCCCACTCAATCGCATTCTTTAATTAAGTTACCAAAGACCCGAAGCCGTGGGATAAAGACTAAAACTCGTGCCTTTTCACTTCATTCTCCTTTACCTCCATTTGTGGAACAAGGAAGAGTTCTGCCTAAGAGAAGCTGAGGACTTACACACTTAAAGATCTTTAAACACTTCTGCCACCTACAGAGATCTTTAGGGAGCAATATTTGCATTCCTGAAAGCTCAAGGTTAATACAATGACCACTTTCGCTACAGAAATTCAGATATAATCTCAGAATTAACCACCTCGGGCAGGACTGGCTACACCTCCACAAACTGGCCTGCCCACTTTTTTGGCTGATCATCACCACAGGTCCTTTTTCTTTTTCTTTTTTTCCCCTCCCTCTGCCTGTCTTTCATCTTTAATGGGCTGCAGTAAGCAGCTTAGAAATAGACCAAATGAGAGCTTGGGGCAGGGATGGGAGAGTTGTTGGGCCACACCAAGACATTTTTTATTTTCTTTCTGATTCATCTGCTTCCTATTTATTTTTAAGTTACTGTATAAAATCAGTATTTCCTCCATCTGCGGAATGATTTGAAGTGTCGGTTTGTCTCTTTATCGGGGCATTAAATCATCTTTGTACTAAAGATAAGTAAGGGAGACTGAGCAAATGTTTCAATGTCAAAGTGATACACATCTCATTACCTGGTCCTGTGTTTTATGCAACACATATCCCTGCCTTTTGGTCTCAGTATATAAAATTGGCCCCACCTGCTGTAGATGCTCTTTTGTCACCTCTCTCTCAACCTGTCACTGCAGAAAAGGCTGCCATACTCTGAGACACCAAGATCAAGCACAGTAAAATTTGTACCTTCAGGACACAATGTGCTACCATCAATACCACCACTAAAGAGAAAATCACCCAAAAGCTGGAAAATTATTACCAAAATTGTCTTGGATCTACCTTTAGCTGGTCACTCACGTAGGGTATCCCTTTCATTTGCCTCTGCTGTATCCAACCAGACAGGGGCACAGGGCACAGGCAGGCAGCAGGGATACCCTTGCCCCTTGCCCCAACTAGCCTATGTCAAACCTTCACATCCGAAAAGGCAGACTGTTGTCTCCAACTGCTTAAAAATAGGCCAACCCAGTCGAGCAAGGCCCACCTGAGCTGGAAGTCTGCCTGGGCCGGCCAGCCCCTGCAGTCAACCTCACAGCAAGGGAAGAGGCAGGCAGGGAGGAGCACCCCGTGGCACACGTGCTCAGACTCTCAACACGTGGAGGAACCTGAAAACACAGTTCTGCACCCATGGCATCAGCCCACGTGCAGACATATTGCAGCTCAAAAGTACATGCCACAAGACTGAGAAAAATGTCTTTATACAGACCTACAAGCAAAGGAACCGTGGCTCTCACTAAATCATTTCTAGGAAATTCTTCACTATTTCTATATATAGTGGCTTCTATAATGTTTCCATAAGGAGTAAAATTTGGCTCTCAAACATTTCTGAAAATTCTTCACTATTTCACTACATAATTATCTTATATGATATTTCCCTCTACAGTGCTTTAAAATGTATTTACATCTACATTTTTTAATACTGTAAACCCTAGTCGATTACTGCACCACACAGACTGAGGGCGAACTATGACCCCTGGGAGCACACAGCTGACCCCTGCGAGTCTGGCTTTCAGACTAAGCTGCATCTGACCACCACGGAACAAGACAAAATTAATTCCTAGTCACAGATTCTTTGTCACAGTGAACAGTTAAAAAATGAAAATGTGGCCCCTTTGCTGTTCATATAAAATATAAAACAAGCTACTGAAGACCTACGAACAAGTAAAACAGTATAAACCACTATGACTAGACCCAATGTACAGGAGATAAGATTTCCTTCCAAAGGAAACTCAGAGACTGGCTGGAAATAGACCTTGTTTTGCCACCTGGCATGCACAAAGGAATAGCATGCAGAAACAGGGTTTGTGTGGACAACGGCACACCAAGTTTGCTTGGAGGATTTTTTTTATTTGGAATGTGACTGTATTTCAAATCCCACATTTCCAAATTCCACTTTTTCACACTACCTTTGTTTTACTGACTTCACTCACTGTATGTATAGCACCTCGGTTGGCACCAGGAACACAAGGATGAACCAGGTAGATTCTCTGACCTCAAGGAACCCTCAATCCTCCACAATCTTTCCCGTGATCCTGACCAGATACAAATTACTTAAGAGCAGGGCTTCATGTCTTATATTCCTGTACAGCATATTTATTTCACAAATATTTTAACTGTCCAGGAATACAATGGTAAAAAATGACACGGTCTTTCTCCTTTAAAGAGGCTTTCAAAAGTGAATGAAACAAAAAAACAGAGGTTGAAGAGCCGAGTGTCGTGAGAGGAGAACACCTCAGAACGATGAGCACACACGTGGAACCCCACACCCAGTGCGCCCACCAAGGCTCGGGGCGGAAAAGTCTCCTAGAGAAAGTAACATCGATGCCCTGGCCAGTGTGGCTCAGTTGGTTGGAACATGGTCCAATACACCTTAAGGTTGCAGGTTCAGTCCCCAGTCAGGGTGCATATGAGAGGCGACTGACCAGTGTTTCTCTCCCTTTTCTTTCCCTTCCTTCCCCTCTTCTCGAGAATCAGTGAGCACGTCCTCAGGTGAGAATAAAAAAGTGACACCCAAGCTGAGACCTCAAGGATGAGGAGAAGTTATCCACCAAGAAGGTATCCACCAAAAACTCCAAGAAGGAGTTTTCCACACAAATGAAAGTTTGTGCAAAGGTCCAAAGTAAGAGAAATCATGGAACCTACAAGGAGTCAGAAGGGTTCGGGACAGCAGGGACTTGCCGCTGGAGGTGGAGGAAGCAGCGATTAGACCAAAGGGAGCTCAGCATTGAAGAATTAGAATTTTATTCTGAAGGCAAGGATATCACTGAGGCTTTTAAGCAGTATGTTGCTATTACATACAAGATAGGCAGTCGATATTTGCTTTGATGCATCAATCAGCTTTCAAAGCAATTTCGATCTTTCCTGTGCCCTAAATCAGTATGTCTCACAGAGAATTCCCTAACCAAAGAAGGTTCTGAGTAATACTTATAACAGTAAATATGATGAGAGCCATATATGTAATTTTAACTTTTCTACCAGTCATATTCTTAAAAAAGTAAAATTAAGCCCTGACTGGTGTGGCTCAGTGGGTTGGGCATTGCTCCACAGACCAAAAGGTTGCCGGTTGCATTACTGGTCAGGGTACATGCCTGGATTGCAGGCCAGGTTCCTGGTTGGGGTGTGCAAGAGGCAATCGACCAATGTTTATCTCAGACATGAATGTTTCTCTTCCTCTCTTTCTCCCTTTCTCTCTAAAAATAAAAATTTAAATTAAAATTAAAATATGCCCTGGCCAGTGTGGCTCAGGTGGTTGGGCATCATCAAACCAAAAGGTCGCAGGCTTGATTCCCAGTCAGGGCACATGCCTAGGCTGCAGGTTCAGTTCCTGGTCGGAGTGCGTGCAAGAGGCAATCTGTGTTTCTCTCTCACACCAGTGTTTCTCTTCCCCTCACTCTCCCTTCCTTCCCCTCTCTCTAAAATCAGTACGCATGTCCTCAGCTGGGGGTAAAATCAAAAATTACCAATATATTTCGTTTAACAGAATGTTTCTAAAATATCATTTCAAATGTAATCAATATTAAATATTTTACTTCTTTTTGTACGAGGCCTATAAAATCCAGTGTACATTTTTTCCTTACATCACATCTCCGTCTGGACTGGCCACAGTTCAAGTGCTTTCCAGCCACATGCGGCCTGCGGCTACTGTACTGAATAGTGCAGACCCAGAATGTGCTCTTATCATTTGTTTGTGTTTGTTTTCTAATTTATAAAAATAATACAAATCAGTTTTTCAATTAAAAAAAAAACACACAGAAAAGCTCAGTGTTGAAAGGTACCCCAACTCCCATATCAGAAACACTAGTTACACTTGGATGTGTTATGTCCAGAATACACATAGGGCAGGCTTTTTAAAGAGTAACACCTGTAGTCATAGCTCTTGAAACTGACGTATTAAACAAAGCTCTAAATAAGCATACCCTAGAACTGTGGAGTTTGACAGGGAACCGTTGTCACTTCAGGGAAACGTGGCTCCTCACATCACCCAGGGCTCTCAGGCCGTCCTGCCTCGCGCGCCGTCGATCCTGCCACTTACTACTGCGCATTTCCCTTCACCAGAGGGGGTGAAAAAAGGAGGAAGGGAAGGGTGCCTAACATGTAACAAAAACTTTATTTCAGGAATGTGGTGGGCTTGACTACATGCACTGTCTTTTGCTTTATTATTTGGCAATTAACTCGGAGGCCATAACAGCCCTCTAAGACATTATTTTCCATCGTTTTCCAGGCCTCACCTTCGGGAGTGACAAAATGATGAATTCCACCACCCCTCAGCCCCCACAGTCCTGCCCCCGAAACACGCTCATCGTGCAGCAAGTCATTCCCGTGCTGTACTTGATGGTCTTCATCGCAGGGATCTTGCTCAACAGCGTGTCGGCGTGGATCTTCTTTTATGTGCCCAGCTCGAAGAGCTTCATCATCTATCTGAAGAGCATCGTCGTTGCCGACTTCCTGATGAGCCTGACGTTTCCTTTCAAGATCCTCAGTGACTCCGGCCTGGGCCCCTGGCAGCTGGGCGTGTTCGTGTGCAGGGTCTCGGCAGTGCTCTTCTATGTCAACATGTACGTCAGCATCGTGTTCTTTGGGCTCATCAGCTTCGACAGATACTACAAAATCGTAAAGCCTCTTTTGACATCTTTTATCCAGTCAGTGACTTACAGCAAACTCCTGTCGGTGATGGTCTGGCTCCTGATGCTCCTTCTCGCCGTCCCCAACATTATCCTCACCAACCAGAGTGTTAAGGATGTCACACATATAAAATGCATGGAACTTAAGAATGAACTGGGCCTAAAGTGGCACAAAGCATCCAACTACATTTTTGTGGGCATCTTCTGGATTGTGTTTCTTTTGTTAGTCATTTTCTACACTGCTATCACAAGGAAAATCTTCAAGTCCCACCTTAAGTCTAGAAGGAATTCCATTTCGGTCAAGAAGAAATCTAGTCGCAATATATTCAGCATCATGTTAGTGTTTTTTGTCTGTTTCGTACCTTACCACGTTGTCAGAATCTTCTACACAAAGAGCCAGACAGAAGCTCACTACAGCTGCCACTCCCAAGAAATCCTGCACTATGTGAAGGAGTTCACTCTGCTGCTGTCCGCGGCCAATGTGTGCTTGGACCCCATTATTTACTTCTTTCTGTGCCAGCCATTTAGAGAAATCTTGTGTAAGAAACTGAACATCGCGCTAAAAGCTCAGGATGACTCAGAAACGTCCAGGTGCAGGAGGGCACAAGCAGCACCTGAAAGCACAGACACGCTCTGATTCCCGCGGCCGCTCCTGCACAGCCCGAGGTGCACGTGTGACCCTCAGTTACCAGCGCGAGGGGCAAATCCGAAAATGGCCATGACGTTAAGCATCACCTCTGAGCATTACGATCCAATTTAGCATGGTAATAAATTATAATGTGAGTTTCCATGCTTCTGTGTAACATGAAAGAAAAAAATAATACATCTTTCAATCAGATCAAAATAGAAGGTTAAAATTTATAATCACTAATCTGGTCAGTTAATGTAGAACTTTAAATAGCAAATAAGAAAATAAAAAGCAATCAAGACCATTCACAAGGGTGCCTTCCATCTCTAAACATAAGAATTAAGTTAGTGAGTTGTGGAAATTTTTTCAACAGGATCATTGAAGACCAACTTAAAAGTAGGCACAGTTTCATAAAGGACTAAAGGTCTGGTTAGTAAAGAGTCAAGTTTTCTCTGATTTGAAGAAGGAGAAAAAGCGGACACTCAGAAAACCACTTAAGAAATTCCCTACTGATTTATCTCATGGTATTTTAAAAGAAAGCAAATAAAAATTATATACTTTGCAATAAAAAATGTAATTTTTTATGATAGCATTTTGAAGAGGACATAAAATGCACTTTAATACGTTCTCTACAGAGACTTGTTAATGAGCCTGGAGCTCTGATCTCAGAATATTTTTACAGGTGGACTCTCCTGAGGGAAGCTGGGGACTGGTCTGTGTTGCCAGCATCCTCCTCTGTTCAGTGGCATGTGTCTGTCTGTCTGTCTGTCTGAGAAAAGACACACACACACACACACACACACACACACACACACCCCACCAGGCCAGAAATACACATTCGTCTCTACGGGTGAGTGAAGCAGTTTTTTTTAAAGAAAGCAACTGGACTTGATTTTTAAAAATCTAAAATTTATAGTAATGAGAATCTATATATAAAATAAAACTTTACACATCACACTTTCTGAAAATGAAATGAATATGTGCAGATACAAAATATTTGTTTGCTGGTGTATGAGTTATCAAAACAATTCTTTCTCTGCTATTAACTGGCTAGAAGACATTCAGCCCAACTTTCAAATGTTCTTTTCAATTTTGTAAGTCATGTTTATTATATATGTCATTCTTTACTGTATATGTAGTAATAAAACATGTTTAATAGTCTCAATTTTTAAATAATCAAGTTATGAAAAAAAACTACCAGATTACCTCACAGTTAAGACATGATGGTTTCTTTTTTATTATTAAAACATTTTATTTATATTTAGAGGGGAAGGGAAGGAGAGAGGGAGAGAAATATCAATGTATGGTTGCTTCTCATGAATCCTCTGCCGGGAACCGGCCTGCAACCCAGGCATGTGCCCTGACTGGGAATCGAACCATCATCGTGTGGTTCGCAGGCCCACGCTCAATCCACTGAGCTATACCAGCCAGGGCGACATGGTGGTTTCTTTAATACAGTCAATTATGCATGCTAATAAGGACACTCATTTACTACTGTCTTTTCAAAATGAGTATTGCATATGCTCTAGGACCTCATCAGATTTTAGGCAAAGCTCAAAAACACCTTAAATTGAGGAAGAGAATGGAAGGTTGTTATATAACTTGGAGTGGGAGGGAGGCAGCACCACTCAGCCTTCAGAAGGAAAAGCTGCTGTTTCCTCTGCTCACCTATTTATATTCTGCAAGTACCTGATGGCAGATGCGAACTTCCATTTCATTACAAAATATCTCCCCCAAAGAAACATCTTTAACAAAATAGAGTTTTCCTTTCTCATGTGCCACTTTTAATGCTTTAACCATGTCATAGCACTGCTTGTACAAAATGATTAAATGTTGTATTACTTTACCTGGTAAATATATTTCTAAAACCTTATTATAAACTAGCTACAGAAAAAAATATTTCACAAAATAAGGTTTCAGAATTGATATGGAATAGAAGTTACTCCAGCCCTATCTCCCCCACCTCCAGTAGAGGCTGGGGTAAAATTATGGAAGCAGCATTATAAAGAAAGGCTCAATTTTACAATACAATATTGTATATGAAAAGTATTTTCACTCACAAAATTGAAGGGCCTCACTGTATAATTCTATGGCTTCTCATGGCCCAAGTTAAAATCTCCTCCCAACCCATCTCAACCCACTTCCAAAACACTATGTCTTTGGTTCCTTGGCACCCGCAATGCAAGACTCTGGGTCGGGGTCACCTCGTGGTTCTACCCCCACTGTATCAGCATGTCCAGGGATTCGCTGCTCCCTCCCAAATCCCAGTCGCTGGTGAACTGCGAGGCCACCCTCTCAAAGTGTATGACAAAGTCCTAAGGGCTTCCTTCCCTATCATTTCATCTCCTGCATAAAAAGACACCGAAAAAATAGCTTATCATCTCCATATAAAACTTTGTATTACTTTAAAACAATTCCTTGATAATTCCTCTTCTAAGCTAAAAGATTTTCTACATGTAACCTGGCAGCTTTTTTCTTTTTAAAATAATAATGTATTTTAAGCACAGGCCTGCAAACCAGAGTTTCAAGGTTCGATTCCCAGTCAGGGCACATGCCTGGGTTGCAGGCCAGTTCCCAGCAGGGGACACATGAGAGGCAGCCATACATTGATATTTCTCTCCCTATCTCCTTCCCTTCCCCTCTAACGATAAATTTTAAAAATAATAATAATGTATTTTATTGATTATGCATCACAGTTGTCCCCTTCCCCACCTTCATTCCCCTCCACCCTGCACACCGCCTCCCACCGATGCTGCCCCACTTTAGTTCAAGTCCATGTGTCGTAACTTCTTTAGCTTCTACATTTCCCACACTATTCTTGCCCTCCCCCCTATCTATTTTCTCCCCACTGTCTATGCTACTAATTCTCTGGACCTTCTCCCTCCTTCTCCTTCTCCCATTCCTTTGAAGAAATGAGATCTTCATTTCTATGGTTCTGCTCCTGGTCTAGCTGTCCTCTTAGTTTGCTTTTGTTTTAGGTGTGGTTCTTAATAACTGTGAGTTTGCTGTCCTTTCACTGTTCATCTTTTTTATCTTCTTTTTCTTAGATAAGTCCCTTTAACATTTCATATAATAAGGGCTTGGTGATGATGAACTCCTTGAACTTGACCACCTTATCTGAGAAGCACTTTATCTGCCCTTCCATTCTAAATGAGAGCTTTGCTGGATAGAGCAATCTTGGATGTAGGTCCTTGCTTTTCATGACTTGGAATACTTCTTTCCAGCCCCGTCTTGCCTGCAAGGTCTCGTTTGAGAAATCAGCTGACAGTCTGATGGGAAACTCCTTTGTAGGTGACTGTCCCCTTATCTCTTGCTGCTTCTAGAATGCTCTCCTTCATTTTAATCTTGGATAACTTAAATAATGATGTGCCTTGGTGTGTTCCTCCTTGGGTCCACCTTCTTTGGGACTGAGCTTCCTGGACTTCCTGGAAGTCTATTTGCTTTGCCAGAATGGGTAAGTTCTCCTGCATTATTTGTTCAGATAAGTTTTCCACTTGTTGCTCTTCCTCTTCCCTTTCTGGTACCCCTATAATTCAGATGTTGGAACGTTTAAAGATGTCCTGGAGGTTCCTAAACCTCTCCTCATTTTTTGAATTCTTGTTTCTTCATTCTTTTCTGTTTGGTTGTTTCTTTCTTCCTTCTGGTCCAGTCTATTGATTTGAGTCCCAGTTTTCTTCTCATCACTTTGGCTCCCTGTGCATTTTCCTTCATTTCACTTAGTTAACCTTCATTTTTTCATCTGATTTGTGACCAAAATCAACCAATTCTGTGAGCATCCTGATTACCAGTGCTTTGAACTGTGCATCTGATAGGCTGGCTATCTCTTGGTCGCTTAAAAGCATTTGCTCTGGGGCTTTGATTTGTTCTTCTGTTTGAGTCATAAGTTTTTGGTCTGGTCGCAACTGTTATGTAGTGAGGGGCAGAGCCTTAGGTGTTCACCAGGGCAGGGCAACCCAGTTCCTGGGTTGTGATGCTGTATGTGGGGGCGGGGTCAGAGAGGGAATAGTGGCACTTGCTCCACTCTCTCTCAGATTTTGGTTCCCTCTGGTGGTGGTTCCCGGGTGGGTGGGCTTATATAGGTTCTAGGACCCTGTGGGTCTCTCCAACAAATTCTCCTGTGAGGCTAAGATTCTCACCCAGCACCTTTCCAATCAGTGCTTTTAAGGCTTTATTTCCCGTCGCTGGAGCCCTGAGTTGCACGGTCTGTCTCACTGCCCATTTTTGCCTAGTTTATCTGCATGCAAATGTGTGACTGTGGTCAGACTCACGCCACCTGCACTCCCTGATCTGCTAACCACTGCCTTTTCCTGCTGCAACCTCTCTCTGCTGGCAACCAACTCTGCCCCTCTTACCGGTCTGGCTGAATGGCTGTTGGACTTCTGTACAGTTCAACTTTCTGCCTGTTCTGGTTGTGTTTTTATTTCTAAATCTTTGTTGTCCTTAATTTGGTTGTGCAAGGAGGCACAGTGTTTCTACCTATGCCTCCATCTTGACTGGAAGTGAGCTTTCTTCAAGCCATTAATTATTTATGTTCTACTTTAACCCGTTAGCTTTCTGAAAAAAATATCAGCTCTGACATATTAGTGACTGAAATGAGAAATTAATCCTCATTTTGTTTGCAAACTAAAAGGCAATTTCTACTTATAGCATAAAAAATGTATATTTTATCTGTTTGATATTATGAAAGCGTTTAGGTGAAGAAAAAGTGATTTTTTGACAGGAAAACCAGTGTTTCCATCAATGCTATTCGAAACAACTTTACAGAGTTACATTCAGGGTAACCAGGGTGGCCTGGTTATGACAGGCAAAGCGCTGAGGAACATTTACTATCTAACTGAAAGGAGTGAAAATCAAGCTGTGCTGTGGCAAATAACGAGATGGCACTAAAAACACAGGAAGTCAACACAGCTGATCGTCCTCCTCAGACTTCCCTTCCCAGAACCGGAACACTGGACACTCCCCTCCCACCAGAGGGCACTGATCTCACCGCTGTGACAGCTCCTAACTGCCCACCTCTTTCTAATTTCACAACCTCGCTGCCTCTCACCTAAAATGACTGCACACATCCCCAAACTGGTGTCTTGTCCTGCACCTTCTCCCCTAACCCAACACATTCCAATACCGCAGACTTACCTTGCTGCTGAACTGAGAGCTCCTCCCACGTGATGTCCCTGAGCTCTCCACTGCCTACTTATTATAGCATCCCAGGTTGACCAGGTTGATCCAAGGTATGGTCTCATTCTTGTCCTCACACAGGTCCTGCTCAGACACTCCCAGTACTCAGATTGCCTAAGAGTCCCCAGACATGGTCCCCACAACCCAATCATCTGAATCATGTCCCAAGCGCGACACCATTCTCCATGGCCCAGAAGTATCCCTTTACCGGCCACAGGCACCTCCTGGATTCCACAGGTCCTAACAGCCAGCAGTACACTTGTATCCTGCAGGTTCTGAATATTCCATGTCACCCCTTCTACACTGGAACTTTCTAAAAGTCACAAAAATATTTCCTAGGACGGGTGCTGAGGTGGCAGCCTGCAATCAGTAAGTTATTTGTTGTTACAATTTTTCTTTACTTTGTCAAAAAACAAAGATTTGCATGACAAGGGAAAAGGAGAATTTCTCCAAAGAACCTTCTCCTGGAAAGTAACTGCAGAGTCTGCAAAATGTGTTCCGAGCTTTGCAAATGTGTTACTCATAATGTCATTCTAAGTGGATGGACAATAACGACTCAAGTGGAAAAGAAAATGAACTTGGTGATAACCTTTAAAAGTTCTTTTTTTAGGGATTTCCCTCCAGTTAATTATTCTACATCCATGGGTCAAACAGCAGTCACACCTCAAAACAGAAAGGTGAAATGGACTGCACGTTGACCCAGCACCACTGTGCGGTCAGTAAAAAGGCAGGAAACCAAAAGGAGGGCAAGGAGAATATGCTCAGCCACTCTCATAACTCACTTCACATTCCCAGAATGGGCAAAACACCTCTGCCTTCAAAATATTTCCAAACCCTACTGTTTTTTCATTAAAAAGGTACCAAACTGGGGCAGAGTTTAAATCATGCAGAATAAGCATCATCTTGGAAGAGCTGTATGTATACCTTACTTTAAAAATGCGTTGTCTAATTACATCCATAACTCAAAAATTAGAAGCTACTACTCTCAGAGGAAGGAAAACAAGTCTTTGCACTAATCCAGGTGGGAAAGGGGATTGTGTACTTTAAAAAAACCTTTCAATACATGAACCAAAAGCACTGAGGCTCCAGAGAGAAGGCTGATCTGGAGCCATTTGGCTACTACAGATCACCACCGTTCATTAACCAAGGAACAGCACTCTGCTCCAAGATCATAAACAGTTTCAGGATGCAAACTGCTGTTGGGCTGAGAGCATCCTAAATCACAGATTCCACAAGGAGAGCAGCAGCAGTGGAATACTATTGTTCTACTGCCCCGGGTCACTCTGCGCAGAATCTCTGTGAACTCAAAGTGGGGGGGCAGGAAAAGGGATGCCCCACTGGCCTGCTCTGTAACCACCGTCCCTGTCCTACACTCATTTTGAGAAGCACTAAGTGCCAGGGCGCTGGAGGCTCACCGTGCAGCTGTTCGAGAGGGCTCTCCCACGCGTCATGGATTTCCTTAAAGGAAGTAAGTTCTCAGGCCTGTGTCTGGCCTGGCTGTGGCAGTGACGACAGACCCCAACATTCATTCCCCCTCCTCGTTAGTTCCAGAGTGCTACCATGCTACCTTTAAAAGGCCAATTTTAATAATGTTAAACATTAAAAATGATACTTCTACTGGAACACTGTTGTTTAGCATTTGTGTCCAATAAAATCAAAAGCGTGCTTTATGTAGGCAGGAGAGACAGCTACAAAAAGGTTTTCTTTCTCAATTCATGGGGCAATTTAGCTTCAATTTTTTTTTCAATTTTAAACATACAAAATACCCATTAAAGTAACTAATACATCATTTCTAATAAAGAACATCACCACAACCAAGGTAAAAATAACTTCCCTGCACTTCTTCCCACTGGGGTTTCCGAAATACTTGTTAGTGATGATCTGTAATTTCCTAGAACGCTAACAAACTACAACATGAAAAACATCTGTCCTTAATGAAACAGAAGAAAGTGACTCACGGAAATTCAAATCGAACTCAAGTTAAAAACAAAAACAAAAACAGGGACAAATAGGCCAAAAGAAAGCCTATTTCCACTGTGAATAAACTTCCAAGAAAAGCCAAGTTGCCTCAAGCTCAATTCTCTAAAGGAAGGACACAGTTCAGTTTCACTGTTAAAAGTGTGGTTACTCAGTATTCCAGAAAGGAAATAGAACACTGAAAACTAGGATTAGCACTTTCATATTTGGCAATCCAGACACAAAACTGTGGCCTTAGGGGGGGCTTTAAGAACAGTTAAATGCACTTCTTCACTGCCCATATCTCCAAGGTGGACATGGATGGAAGTAAACACATAAATATGCCGACCTAAAAAAAGAAAAAAAGAAACTGCACCAGAAACCTTGTTATTTCAGTTTTCCTGCACACCATGTTAAGCCCCTCACCACTGAGCTGGCAGCCAACCCCATCCCACCGAACCCTCTCTGTCCCCACTGAATGTCAACCCTGGTCACAGCTGCTCACCTGCTTGACTGTCTGTTCGCAAGCATGTCTTTCTGAAGCATGTTTTTTGGTGAGTCTATCTTAAAAGACAGGTCATTTCCTGGTGCGACCATGATGCAAGTTAACATTGGTTCTTAACCAAAAGTCAAGGACAGAGTCTGAGAAAGATTTGGACTTTTTCCTCTAGTTTATAAATTGAGTATGTTTAAAAAAAAAAACTCTTCTTTTGCAAAATAAAAATAATTACACTATTCTGGGAGAACACCGGAATATCTGAAACAAATGGCTACGTTCATCATAAGCATCTGCAAATTGCTTTTATCAGAAGTGCCCTTAGACCGCCTAAACTCATTCTCTCTAGCTTGACATTTCCCATCGTCTTGAGAAATTTTTCTATTTAAAAATGAATACCAAAAGAGATTCATTTTAGATTCATGAGAGGTTTCTTCTGACTTTATCCAAATTATCTGGAAAACTAAGAATTTTTTTTTAAAGGTAAAACCAAAGCACCTACCAAACCAGTGAAGCAAGAGAAGAAACCAGACCATAACTGACCAGGAAACGGTTCTGCAATTACAAATCATCTTTGTCCCAGCAGATTTAGAACTTCCTCAAACATGCTAGAAACATAACCTTATTTTCTCTTTATAAAAGCTACCCTTATTCAAGAAACATAGCCTAGTGGAGCCAACTGATGACAGGGATAGACAATGACTTTTCATGAGGCCCCTCACAGTGCTGGGCTCCATTCAGACACCCAGTAAATACTTGCTTGCTCTCAGGCAGAATGAACAATGACCCAAACAATGAAAAATCATACTTCTACAAAATCTAATAATTACTAAATACCTGTCTCAATGCATTAAGCTGTTTGGGCTAAACTGACAAATGCTCATTGTAAGTCTACTCTCATAACTTAGAAAAATACTTCCAATATATTCTTGAATGAAAAAATACAAACCATAAAACATTATGTACAATATAATAATATTTATAAGTGGGTGTACATACACACAGAAGATTTCTTAATGTAACAATAGTTATCTCTCTGCATAATAATTTACCTCTTCTATTTCTACTACCAGGTTTGTCTACAATGAACAAAAAAGAATAACGAAAAATAAAACATTCAGTACTTTACCAGACTATGTAAAGTTACATTTTTTTTTGTTTATTAATAGGTGTCTCCAGCGGGATCCAAACTGCAACAATTATTTAAAATTATAGATTTGAAAGGCTAATGAGTATCAGCATGTAGAACTAAAGAAATTTTGCTTGAACACCTAATATCTTTAACTCATAACCCTTTTCAAGGCACAAAAAAACTGATGTTCTTTAAAGTCATTATGATGCAAAACACATCTTCAGTGTTTAAACAAAAAAACTAGAGGTACTATAATGGACAAAAAAGAATTTTCCCTCTACAATTAGAATAGACAAATCCTAATTGCTTAAGAAAGCATACACAAAATTGAAAAGAACTTCTTTAGGAGGACTTCATACAGTTAAACTCTTTGCAAACCACAGTTTCATCTACGTCAATACGCAACATTTTAAAACCACAGGAAAGGAAAGGAAATTTTTAGTACGGCAGTGATCCTGCTGTAGCAGCTCAAGCTTCTCTGAAGACTCGGAGAGAGGCGCCTGAGGCTCAGAGAATATACCACCAGGTATGTCTTTTTAAATACTTAATATATTCAAGTATCTTTCCTTGGAAGGGAAATCTATGATTCTCAATGTTTAAACCAAGTAAGTTGGAAATGTCAACATGTAGTAAGGTTGCTATGTAAGAAGGCACCAGTTTTTAAACTCTAACTAGATTCTCACTGTAACCTAAACTAGAATTTTCTTCCATCTGAAGACCCCACCCATTCTCAAAAAGGCAGGTTAATAAAAGCAAGACTGAATACTTACCTATAGGTGAGCATAACTATTCAGTAAATTTTATAACTGGATGAACAAAGGCCATGTTGGTCTTCATAAAAAGGTGAAACAATTCTTAAAATGACTTCCTTCTATATACATTACAGTAGGTAATTTGAAGAAAATTCCATTGTGATTGCCATTAAAAAAAAAAATCTAATGAGTTTATTTTCTAAGCAATGGGCACTTGATCCAAACAAAAAAGACACCTGGAATCTTTTCTTGATTTTGCTGGAGTGCCTCTGGACATCTCAAATTTCCACAGGCTAGTAAGTGGTTGACAAAATATTTATCAAGCATTTAGTTTTCAAATTTGTGCTGGGGAACACAGATGTTATTATAGTACAATGTCACCTCTAACTGATATAACCAAAAATTTTAAATGAAGAGATTTGGTTTCTGTTGCAATAACCAAAGCGATAGACTTTTGTTAGACTGAGGTTCATGATAAGAAGCTGCCAGGCACTACCTGATCTGAAGCATTACCAAACAAATAGACATACTGTGATTATTTTTACGGGTGTATACAGTCAGTCCCCGTTGCAGGGAATATTCATTGATCAAAACAAATCATTCCCTAATCCTTCTGTGTACCACACATTCATCTTTAAAATGGGGCTTCAGTGTATAATTGTATGAGCAATGGGGGCACTTTAAAAAGCTCATGACTATGTTACTATAATGTCCCATTTGAAATGTAAGAACATAAGCCAAAATCCTAGGAACTTATAAAGGAACAATGAGCAAAGGTGGGAGACAAGGATGAATTTACACCAACATTAGCTTTTGACCCACAGAGGGAAAGGATGTTTAGGATGCCAGGGTACAAATAAATGGCTAGTATGAAAAATCAGAGTCAGAGTCATAAGGAAATCCGTGATGCCTGAATTGGAATTTAGAGATGAAGAGCTTCCTCAAAGCATTTAGAATAGGCAGGATTCGGGAACGGGAAAGATAAAGGTAGAAAGCCTAGAACATGAGCAATAAGGTCAGAACCTAGCCTGTCCCAACCAGCTGTGAAACCTCGAGCAACACCCAACAGCCAGAACTCAGCTTCCTCAACTGGTCTAAGAGTGGACTAGATGCTATCAACAAAGGTTCCCTCTGTCCTTAAAATCCTGCCATCCCCAAGTCGTAGTACAACCAAAAGCACAAAGGCAGGAAGAAGCAAACAGATCACGGAACAGTAGAGATCCCACCGATCTAAAGCAGAGAGGTGGGAATGAAGACCATGGGGGTGGTATGGAGGGACAAGGTCATGGGGACTTCGAAAGTAAAGGGGGTCAGACTGACAGGAGAGAGCCTATGTTTGGTTTTTAAATATATGTACTGTAAAATGAAACATCAAAATACATGAAGCCTAAACTTCTTTTATTAGTATTCAGGAAAAAAATAAGAATGAAAATTGCTTAGAATATAGTTTCTGCCATATAGTAAGCATTTAGTCAAGGCTGGCCGCTACAGCAATAATAACCCTCAACGCCACCATGTCTGTCACTACTGTTGTTATTATTGTTTACAAACACATTGTCCCATCTGGGAGGAAAAGGGGAAGGACATGCACCCTTTCAAAGGCACTGACTTAGAAAGGGCCATGTACCTCTACCTTACCAATCCCCTTGCATACTGTCTCCCCTCCCACTGTACATGTGGTGGGTCATTAAATAATTAGGCAAATTAAGTTTCAGAAAGGCTTCAGAGATTTTTGGTTTTGTTTTTAAATTTTTAAAAGTTTGAGTGAATGGGCTTATTTGGCTTTCTTAGCCACCATACTTGCTAGTCACTATGTTTAAAAAGATATATTTCAACTTTTTTCCTGATAAGACACAAAAATAATATTGTTAAAACAAAAGAAAGGTATTTAATATGCATGAGGAGGGGGCGCACAAAGCAGCAGCGCCAGAAAGAAGGGGCTGCGGCCTCCGGAGTGTGAGTCTGACTGGACTCGGTCCAAGGCAGCGAATGAAGCCCAGCTCGTCTAACGCGGAGGGAACATCGCGTTGCCTCGATCATAGCGGTTCTAATCTAAGGCTCTGTCTTCTACCTCTGGGCTCCGGTGCCACAAAACCACAGCGAAAGAGAAAGAAAAACACTCAGGTGTTAACTTTAGATGTTTTGATACTAATATAACTGAGTCTCTCTTTGAGAGTTTGGTCACCAATGTCATACGTCCTTGTTCTAGAAGCCTTTAAAATGCATTCTTTGTGAAATTTCTTAAAAACACTGAGAACACAGAAACATCTATGCAAGCACTGTCCAACAGAAACAGAATATAAACCACAAAGATACTTTAAAATTATCTAGTAGCTGCATTTAAAATAGCAAAAAGAAACAGGAGAAATTAATTTGAATAATATATTTAACCTGATACATCAAAAATATTTTGATATATGCTCAGTATAAAAATATTAATGAGCTATTTTACTAATTGTTGTACTAATTCTATAAACTAGCACAATTTTACTACTTGTACTATTTTTTAAAATGCTTTGTAGTAAATCTTAAAAACCCAGAGTGTACACATAACACACGTCAGACTGGCCTGGCCACACTCCAAGTGCTCATCGGTCACAGGCTGCAGCCGAGCAGCCTCCCAGGTCTACTCCATTAGAAAACCAGAGCCAGGAAAAGGGGCGTAATAAGCATCAATTCTAGGCCAGATTCTAATCCTTCAACCCATACTGCTAAAAAGAAAAATACAATAAATTCTGATTGTGAAAATGTTCAAGCAGGTTAGACAGTGAAGGGCCTACTTTTGAAATATTCTCTTTTAAATTTTAGTACAACTTTCGGTTCATCGTTACCATCCCCCAGACCAGGTCCCCCCAGCATGAGGAGTTCTACCTGTCTGTGAGAAAGGAAAACCAGGGGCCTCGGTGACAGCTCTTCAGACTCAGCCACAACCAAACCATTTTACCCTAGTTTCCTCTCTCGAGTTCTCAGAATTTCAGTTTAATTCCTTCCTCTGCAAACCAACTTACATCCAACTGGTAACAAGACCTATCAGAACGCCAAAGTGTGACGTCAAAAATATCCCTTCTAGAAGCAAGCCGAGAATGGGATTTCCCAAACACACAAAACCAGACCATGGAAAACCCAGGCTTCCCCATAACATAAGATGTTCCTGCCAGTCCACGTGATCTATTAAGTTCAATAAAATTCTAAGAACTAGAAAGATTGTTGACTATGCTATTGTGAGTACAAGTGATTTTTAAAGAAAATAATTTCTAATTTTAATTACTAACCTCCCTTCCCTTCTTTTTTAACAGCTTCTTAAAAAAAATTTTTTTGGAAACAAAACAAGTCATTCTTACTTCCCCACAAGATGACAAACAGTTCTACCTTCTGTCCAGTTTATAGAAACCTGCAGCCATTCACATACTTCTTTTATTTAGTTTTCCTTATCGGATTTATTGGAAGTTGTTTTGCAACCTGGGCTTTCATACAGAAAAACACAAATCATAAATGTGTAAGCATCTACTTAATTAATTTGCTGACAGCCGACTTCCTGCTGACTCTGGCATTACCAGTGAAAATTGTTGTTGACCTGGGCGTGGCACCCTGGAAGCTGAGGATATTCCACTGCCAAGTAACAGCCTGCCTCATCTACATTAACATGTACTTATCAATTATCTTCTTAGCATTTGTGAGCATTGATCGCTGTCTTCAGTTGACACACAGCTGCAAAATTTATCGAATACAAGAACCTGGATTTGCCAAAATGATATCTACTGTCGTGTGGGTAATGGTCCTTCTTATAATGGTGCCAAATATGGTGATACCCATCAAAGACATCGAGGAAAAGCTGAACGTGGGATGCATGGAATTCAAAAGGGAGATTGGAAAAAATTGGCATCTGATGACAAACTTCATATGTGTAGCCATATTTTTAAATTTTTCAGTCATCATTTTAATATCAAACTGCCTTGTAATTCGACAACTGTACAGAAACAAAGATAATGAAAATTATTCAAATGTCAAAAGAGCTCTCATCAACATACTTCTAGTGACTACAGCCTACATTATATGTTTTGTTCCTTACCACATTGTCCGAATCCCATACACGCTCAGCCAGACTGAAGTCATATCTGACTGCTCAACTAAGAATTCCCTCTACAAGGCCAAGGAGGCCACGCTGCTGCTGGCTGTGTCGAACTTGTGTTTTGATCCCATCCTGTACTATCACCTCTCAAAGGCATTCCGCTTAAAGGTCACTGGGACTTTTGTTTCACAAAAGGAAAGCAGGGCTCAGAAAAAAAAATCAAGTGATGAAAATGATGTATAAATATGGGATCGTGTTATAATTTTATGCTGTAATCTCTTCCCTTGCTGGACAATAACTATAAAACGACCGGGAAAGAGAACCTCCGAATGTAAAGATAGACAGCTTGCAGATGTGACCTGGTTTACTATGAAGCAGTTTTTAAATGCAAACCAAGCAGTATTTCTTGGTTGATCATGCTTCTTAAGGCAAATATTTATACAAAAAAACCTAAAAATTCTTGTTGAAGCAATGTAAAACTCTGATACCCAAATGATTTCGGTGACACAGACACAGAACTATTTGTGAGGTACTCATTTAAATATCTGGAACTGACTTCTTAATATAAAATACGTAAAATACAGATGACTCATAAACAGATTTGAACTGCATGAGTCTGCTTACAATTTTAGTTCAATAAATACATACAGTACTATAAACACATTTTCTCTTCCTTATGACTTTCTCAATGACATTTTCTTTTCTCTATCTTACTTTATTATAAGACTACAGCATATAATGCATCTAACATACAAAATACATGTTAATCAGCTGTTTATGTGATCAGTATAATTTTCAGTCAACAGTGAGCTATTAGTAGCTAAGTATGTGGGGAGCCAAAGTTACATGTAGAATTTTTACTGTGAGGGGTCAGTGCCCGTAACCTCCTCATTGTTCAAGGGACAATGATCAACTCTATGTAAGTTGCCATACACCCCTTCTACAACACCATTTAAAGGCCTTTCAGTCACTTAAAAAATAAAAAATAAAACAAAAAAAAAGCCAACTTATTTTTTAGATGAAACCCCCTGAGCCTGATTTTTTAATCCTCCACTTCAAAGAAGGTGAACTTTTAGTTCACTATTCCAATTTTTAACAACTAATTGTTTCTGACAAAATAACTAAAAATTTTTACTTCCCAAAAGTCTTGCAAATGCATGGGTAGTTTTTAATGTACTGTACATACTTATATTCTACTTGAAAGTTATGAATAAAGATTTCCTACTGTTAGTAATGACAAGTCCAGTGGTTATTTTTATTTTGTAGTAATGTGAAATAGACCCTATAACATTTTGAAGGGGAGCTGTTAAATTATACTAACTGTTTCGGAACTAAAAACTCAAATTAAAGTTATGAAAAAATAGCACCAAATAGTCTTAAAACAGACATGCCCACTCCACACAGCCAGGCCCTGCTAGCGACATAGTAGTGCTGGGTTGGTCGGTGCTACTCAGGGTCCTGGAGTTGAGCCTGACCACATGGGGCCAGCAGATTCAAGTGTGGGTGACTGCAGCCCTCAGGGTCACCCACTTTGATCTCTCTACTGTCCATAATGCAGAAAAATCCAATAGATGGTGAAAGAAAAGACTTTTTTAGAGAAAAGAAAATTGGGAAGTTTAAACAAGCATATATAAGATTTTGTGGGATTTTTCATCTCAATAGGAAAAGCTCATATTAAAACAACTAGTAACCCATTAACATCAGCTCTGATGATTAAGAAATGGCATTGTTCCTAAAGGCTAACAAAACAAGTTTGATTCCAGATTCATTTTTAGCTCTGAATTAAGAATTATTTTCTAAAGCCTGACCCAAGACAACTCTGCCTACAACTCCACATATTCTCTGAGTTTAAAAAGAATAATAAAAGAGAAAATGCACAATCAAGTGCCTATTACACTCACAACACAGTAAGTACTGAACAAATTCTAGGTAGCTGCTGGCAACACTAGGAGCCCCGTCAGCACCACAGACCTGACACCAACAACGTGCAAATGGCTCGCCTAAGTGACAGGCTGGTAGAATGCCTATACACTAGAACGTGTGCTTGTTGGGAGTCTAAGAACGTGTTTTTACTAATGGGCACATCGAGACATTATTCCTATAAGAGCATTCACAAAACTAGTTTATTTTTTTCAGAATATTTTTCTTGAGACTAAAGGTCCTCTCACCATGGTCTTCATTCATTAAGGCGTCATCTTAGAGCAAGAGGTAGAAAAGAAGAAAAATTTCTTTTAAAAATCATATTCTTGCTCTGACTGGTGTGGCTCCATTGGTTCAACGGGCCACAAAGCCAAACGTCGTTGGTTCAATCCCCGATCGGGGCACATGGGTGGGCTGCAGCTCTGGTCACCAGTTGGGGTGTGTTTGACTGGTAACCAATAGGTGTTCCTCTCTCACAATCATTTTTCTCTTACTATCTTCTTCTGTCCCTTCTCCTCTCTCAAAAAGTACATAAACAAAATCTTTTTTAAAATACCACATTCTTATATTCTCTTCACATGCCTAATAAGTTAGTCAAATTTTCCTTTTTAGTAAGGAAGAGAACCAGGATCTACAGCATTCCTAATGTTAATGTTACGTTAGTATATATATACTTTTATTTCCCTTTACTGATGGCTTATTCTAAATGACACTCCAATTAATGGGGTTATTAGGGCAAGTGGTGATGGAAGATTATTAAGTATATCCTACCACATCAATTTCCTAGAAGTCCTTTTTATGATTACAATACAGTTGAATTATGTCCTAATTCATCATGACACTTAGCCATTAAAAATCTTTCACGTTCTTTTCTCCAAGCAAGTGGACAGTCTTTAGAACACTAAATGCTGCAAATGACTGTAACTGAGAATCATGTGAACAAATAAGAAGGCCCACGCTCGGGCAGTGCCCTGACCTGCCACCCGGACACACAGAAGAGGGAGACTCGCAAAGCTCTGCCTACCCGACGGAGCACAGAGCCCTCACCAATTTCAATCATTTTCACCATTTTGCCATATTTGCTTCATTTTTTTCTCTCCATTTTTTACATAAACTTATTTTAAAGTAATATAAAATTTATTAAAAAGGTACAAATATAATACAGAATTCCCACATATCCTTCATCCAAATTTGCTCTAATGTTAATGCCTTACGTAACCATGATACATTTGTCAAAACTGGGAAATTAACATCAATGTATGACCGTTGTCTAAATGGTATAAGGCACGAATAAACTCTGGACCTCAGTTACTCCCTCCCCCGCCCCTTTGACTCCATTTCAGAACAAATTCCAGATATCATGATAGTCCATCCATGAATTCTACAGGACACATCTCTAAATTATCAGGCTACTCTTTCTGCTGCCCTAAATAAACTGTAAGATTATTCCAGTATATTAACAATGAGTAACACAGGTAAAAGCTGAAAATGCTGATATATTAGCCAGTGATAAATAAGAATCATGAAAACTTTATACATAGCCCTGGACTTAGAAAAATTAACACTACAAAAAGAGTTCTTACAAATAAACCAATAAACAAATGTAAAAAAATAGTTTGCAAACCAAAACTCCTCAGAAGATATCAGTGAAATAGCATATTGTATACTTCACAATTATAGTTTTGTTAAAATAATAGTCTTCAATGAAAATTACTCATTAAAGTTACACAAAACAAAATTCCAAGAATGATAGTGAACCTAAGAATAAAAACATTGACAGATCCTAGCCCAATCTTTACCACTAATACTAAAAAACTAAACTTGTTTCCCCTTAGGATAAAGTACATCACCCTTTATGACTCAGACACTGAATTTCCTGGCAAGTATTTCCCATGTGCTACCCAGTTCTTAATCTCAATGGCTCAAAATCCAAATTCATCTCGCACCCAGCCTCTTCTCTGAAGTCCTGACCAACTTCTTAATTTTCACTTTTGCAGAGTGGAAGGGACCCAAGAATGTCTCAAATGGTCCACCTTTGAGCGGGCAATTGGGTTTTTACTCAATTACTGTGCTTATTTCAAAGCTTGTCATTTTATAGACATTTGTCTCCTCCTATCTTATTCAACTTTCCTGTGCCCCACAATCCTTACCCATCTGCATAATACCAAAAGTACCTACCAGAATACAGTGCACATAATGCTACTCAATAAATGAGTTTCAAATCGAAGCAGGAAAACAAATTTAGACATTATTTGCAGTGACTCAAATGCTCATGAAAAAGGATACTAATATAGAAAATTCTGTTAAATCTAGTCAGCCAGTAGTATCACACCACAAATGGACTACACCAGTACCTAAGCTATATGATCAAATTATAACCAAAGAAGCGATGAACGCAGGCACTCACCTACTTTCATATGAATTACTCAGGCGAGTAGGTGAATAATCGGTGGTTAATGAGCCTATAAAGAAATAATCGAGTCGTCAACTGACTGAAGCGAGGACTTACCAGAGGTATAGGAAAATGTGTTGCATACTGCAGGTGTCGCAGGAGGTCATAATTAGATGGAAAAATTAACTCTCTTGGCTTTTCTCTCTTCAGCAACTTCTCCCCATTAACCGACATTCTTCTGCTCAAGGAAGGGTTGGCATTCTCACAGGACTCTCCAGGCATGGGAGAAAAAATCTAAGTCATGTAAAACAAACGGTGGAGATTGTAAATGAAAGAGAGTGAGGCCAAAACCCAGCACCGCATACCACAGCGTCAAACACACAAGACACTCACACAGGATCTTTCCTTATTTAACCACTAAGCAAAACATATACAGAAATTTTGTTCATTTCCACAAACTTCATATTAGATCACCAGGAGGCTGGCACCATCACCCTCCTCTCTGAAGATGAGACAGTGACAAAGACACACATAAGAAACGTGCACAGCTGCATTTCCTGGAGGACCCGGGATAAAATCGGGTTATAGGTCATTGTTTCCCCTTAGGGATGCATTTTCTATAAAAATACAGGAATAATGAACTAAGTCATGAATAGACAGAAAGGTTTTAGTCTGTACCCTAAATAATATTTTTAAAAAAGAGTTACACATTAAGATCCATGAGGAAGAACACATAATTTTGGATAAAGTAAAAGAATGTATAGCAAGTCCAGAGCCAGGAAAGCTATTATTTTAGGAGCTAAATGTATACACAGCAAAGCAATATGAACTGTCACGGTGAAACCACTGCACCCCTCACTCCTCAGAGGCGACGGCCTCAAAATGAACAGAAGGGTCCCAGGCAGTTAACTAGGACAGGAGTGCTATGACCCATTCCCGAAGGAGGCAGTGCGGCCCAAACTGAGGATGAACTGAAAGGAGGCAGCTGCCAAGGTGCTGAGCTGTGCCCTAGGAGGAGTGTGGTGGGATCACATTTACATCACAAGGACACAGGTCATTCCAGTACAAGAAACAGAAGGATGGAGGTGAGCTGGGGGAGGGGCTGGGGGAGGGGTTGGGGGAGGGGTTAATAGTCAGTAAGAACTGGAAGGTTGAACCTACTGGAAATTCCGAACCAAAGTCAGTTTTAAAGTCACTCTTGTCTACTTCATCAAAAATATTAGTAGTTCCTGAGTCAATGCCCATATGTGCCATAATAGTCTGTTCCTGATAATTGCCAGAGAAAGAAAGTCACAGTGTAAATGTTGTAGTTCATTAAGAAACCGAAGCTAAAACATGACAGTACAACATCTTAGCCATTCTATGTTTTATTTTCTCCTAGTGTTTTTTCTCAAAAATAAAGAAGTTTTAAGACACGCATTGTTTGCATGTCACATTAGCTTGCAAAGTCACATTAGCTGTCCTCACAATGAGAAAGATACTTTCCATTATACTTTATGGGAAGAGTGTGCAAACTTCCTGATAAAAACAAACTGACCCTCATTTCCTTCTTTGGGCTCTTCCCAGTCACATGCTCACCAACTTTTCTTAGTAAGAAAAACCTAAGAGCATATCTAAGATATAAGATACTTGATATCCAAGAATAGAAAAGAAAAATCAGAAACAGAAAAAAGCCTAAACAGCGAAAGTAACTTCACTTTTGTTTTTTTTTTAACCCCACATAATTTATACTGTGGATAAATTCAGAAACAAGACTATTTATATTGAAGAAATATTTTTTTTAATTCCTGTATCATTTAGTCACCAAATCTGAAGAATATAAACTATAAACCAATGTGTGCAATTCTAATGTCAAGTTTTTAAATAATTATAGCCACTGTTTTAAAAACATGATATTATATGCCTAAACTCTCACGGAACCAATATGAAGCTTTAATCTTGAGGAACTGTCACAATCTCTCGGCATTTTCTACTACTTCCCCTCACCAACCTCAGGTGTTTTTTGTTTGGTTTGGGTTTTTGCCTTGAAAATTTCCATAACCACCTGGAACAATGTCCAAAATAACAGAAAATGGCAGAAAATTATGAAGTCCTACTCACATCATAAATTACTTTGTTTTAAATAGTGAAAAAAATAATTTTAAAGCATTTGAAAACAAAGATTAAGTTTTTAATTAACTGAAATGAAAATACAATGCATTAAGACTAAAACAGACTTTCCCATTATGTATAAAAGAATGATACGAGTACAAACATGTTCGAGAAGATGCTCCTTAGAACAAAAACTGAGCCAGGACTCTCAGGCCAAAACAAGCCTGATTTTGAGGCACAACATTAGAGAAAAACTGAGGATTAGAAATATGTAAAACTGGAAGCATATAATTCCAATCCATAGAAAAACTTTATGTATGGCCTGTCAAATCTTTTCATTAATAGCTTTAGAGGATCTAAAAGAAAATTCTGGAAGATCTCAATTATAGTCCAATTGTTTTTGTGAGTGGGGAGTATAAATAAGTTAGCTTTGTAATGAGAGAATATAATTAAAAAGTGATCACCCTTCTGTCACAAAATAATCCTCCTCAGAGTGGAACCCAGCAGAATTTGGGGCGGGAAGGGCAGTAGGAAGGGGCAGGAGGGGGCGAGAGGGGGCAGGAGAGAGCGTGGAGCAGGAACGCCTCTCCAGGGGCCATTACCTCCATCTTCCCGTCATGGTCCTTGGGATAGTGTTCGTCGGGATTTTCTCCAACCGGGGACCGTGGCCGCGTCGAGGCAGTGACAGACAAGTCTCCCCGAGAGATGAGGGTGCACATGTACGCGTCATGGGAGAAGACATCATGGCGGATGAACTCGCAGAAGAGCAGCACCAGGTTCACGAACTCCACCTTTTCACATTCACTGTTTGGATCCGCTAGAAAAAAACAATTCAACCAAAATTCTGTCCCTCTGAACCCAATAAAGTAAAAAATAATTTAAAAAAAACAATAGCTAATGTTTAATAATATGTTTACCATTTTTCTTAATTTTTTTACAAATAAAAGATCATTGGGAAATTACTATGAAGCACTATGGCCTATAGGGTTTAACTCTTGCACTGTAATTGAAAAATACCATCCAGTATGCTAAGTACAATTTCAAATTTAAAGACAGTGGTCCCTGGCAAATGAATGACCATTTAAAAATAATATAAACGCAAAAAGTTTCAGGTTGGAAAAAAAAACAGCAGACCTACACTATAGTTTTCTGGTTTTATTAAAACTGCTCATGACTATTTCTATAGTTTGAGTGCATCGTGTACTGTGGAGCATGCTGTGAACTATTTTAAAGGAGACTCCACAACAGAACTGCAATGCAAGCGGTATTGGAAAAAAAGGGAGTGGGATCCACTGAAAAGAAAAAGAAAAAAATGAAATTAAAGGGGCATAAACAGGAGCTCTTCAGTCTTTTTTTTAATTCGTAACCAGTCTACTGAACTTATATTATGACTCCTAATATTGCAACTGGACTCTAAAATTTCCTATCAGAACTTTGAGGGGTTAAAAATGTTAAGACTAACATCTCAGTCTTAACTCAGCCCCTGGCCCCATCACACTCACAAACAGAGACAAAAAGATGGATCCAGACAACATGACACTTGGTTCCCTAAACCTTAAGTCTAAATGTTTGCTCTCACCCACCACCAAATTCACGGACGGCAACCTCTAGAGAGAGACAAAACAGCTTTCTCTAACAGAAAATGGGACCTGGATCAGCAAAACCGAGGAGGCGGGAAGTTTTTCCCGAAGAGAGAACAGGAGTGAGCCAGGATGAGGAAAGCAAACAGCAAACAGCAAACACTGTCTCCCCGCAACACCGAAAACGAGATGACTTAGAGCTGTTAATTTCCATTGCTGACCATGTATTTCCCATCCAGCATCTCGTCTGTATTTTCATTTTCCTACTGCATTCTCCCTGTTTCACTTACTGTTCCCCACATTCCACCCACAAGCTTGACTCCAGCTCTGTCTCTCCCTCTCCCCTAGACCAGCCACCAAACGACAAAAATAAGGAAGGCACCGCCCAGCCGAACGAGGCCCTCCTGAGCAAGCAGAAGCACTACTGTTTCTTGCTGCTTCACCTCCTTCTCCACAAACGTCTCCCTATCCCTCCACTCCACTCTTTTCCTCTCTTTTCTATCACTTTCCACTTTTTGCCATTTTTGTTGTTCCATCACTATCTATCCTAAGACCCTCTCTGCTGTACCTTGACATATAAAAGCCTCAGGATAAGATCAAGCGTACTTAACTCACACACATGGTTTTTTTAGCGTCCACCCACAGCAGAAACCCACTGGGTGGATGTTTACTCCCCAAACCCTCAACTTCCCACCAACTACAGAAAAAAAACACAGAAAAAGTACCTAAGATGACATGCACATCCAAGAGAGTTGGCAAGCAGCCAACCATCTTTACGAATAATTTCCTTGTATCTAAAGCCTAGTTATAAAGTGCATTGTTTGATTACTGCTCACCTTTCAAGATACAAAGTTAGAAAAAAAGAAATTTAGAAAATGGTTTGAAAAGAGAAAATTCCAAATCACAATATATAATGAAACATCACAGGACCTATTTTGGTAAGAAAGATCTAGAAAGGGAAAATTAGTCCACTTAAATATAAAGGAAGGAGGTACTTTATTTTTTAAACTATACAAAATTTTAAGCCTTTAAAAAGTTCACCTAATTTTAAAATTGCACAAAAGTCTCCAGAGAAAACATGCCACAGAAATTTTGCTCAGTAAAATGTACATTGTATTCAGTGCCAAGAACTTTTGATAAGATGCAAATCAGAGTCCTGACCAGTGTGGCTCAGTTGGTTGGGCATGAGCCCACAAAGGAAAAGATCACTGGTTCGATCCCCAGCCAGGGCACATAAATGGGTTGGGGGTTTGGTCCCTGGTCGGCGCATGTGAAAGAGGCAGCCTATCAATGTTTCTCTTTCACAACCATGCTTCTTTCCCCCTTTCTCCTCCCTCCCTTCTCCTATCTCTAAAAATAAATAAATAAAATCTTTTATTAAAAAGATACAAAAAAGAAAGAAAAAGAAGAATCAGTTCAGAAAAAGGGAGTCATTTAATATCTAGAAGCAAAAACATTTACTTACACAGCGAGGGGGCCTGTGTATCTAAAAACCTCAGCAGAACATTCTGGAAAACAGGCAAACTAGATCCAGCAAGAGAGGCCGAAGAAATGGACTCCTTTTCATCTAAGACCTCTGATTCCCCACATCTCTAAGATTAAAAATAAACAAGCACAGTTAATTATAAAGGACAAGTATAGTCAGTGGGTCATGGATTTGTTAGTCTTTTATTAAGTTCCCACATAAAATGTAAAATTAATTAAGACCTCTGTATATATTTGTGGGCCATGCATAAATATAATTTCGAAAAGTTGACAGAACTATCCCAGAACAATTCAAGTGAGTTCAAACAACACCCTTTTGGAAAATATTATTCACATGAATTATAAACTCTGAACAGTACTGTACGAGTATCCATTGAAAACACAGTATAAGATAAAGTGCTCATTCTCCCTGTGCAAATTGCTAAAAAGTAATCTGAGGCATCTTCATTTTTATTGAGCTCGTGTTTAACTGTATTTTCGCTAAGAAACATTTTGGCATGTATTATTGAGTGTGATTCTTTTGTGCTTGTTTTTGTGTGTTCCAGAGTGTGTGGGGAGGTGCGGTGTCCAATGAGAAAGCTTGTAAACACGGTTTCTCTAGTAAGAGCCTTTCACTGACTCATCACATGTCGCCAGTCAGCTCTCTCAGAACCTCTGGGAATCTCCACAGTTCAAGAGGCAGAAACCCATTTAGACAAGGTCTTCAACTTGTGTATTAGTCAGAACTTACTAGAAGATTAGAAAAGAAAACTGTTTAGGAACAATCAGGTCCTTGTTTTCTATTCTTTTTGATATCCTTTAATCTTTATTCATTAATATTAGATACTAATTTTATACTGATATTTTTCTAAGCCATCATGTCTTTACAAAGATCAAACTTCAAAAATGATGTTTATTAGAAATCAGTTATCTTAAATGTCTCTGAAAGAATACATTTATACCTATTAAAATGACAAAGTAATCTATGTGTGCACCTCTTCTGAAAGTGACTGTGTGTGTGTGTGTGTTGTGTGTGTGTGTGTGTGTGTGTGTGTGTTCCAGGACACATTGGGGGGGGAGGGAGGGGATGACAACAACAATCCAAAAGCAACGAGGAAGTCTGAAAAATTCAACTTTAGTTACCAAAGTTTAATCATTGCAATCCACTGTACAATAGAATTCACTGTAGAATTCACTGTATCTATTAATACGTTAGAAGAAAAAAAGAATGAGACCCTTTTCCTAATTTGCACACTGTAAAATGGGCTCATGTTTTACACCTTAACTTCAGTATCTTCGAGCTCCAATTTTGACATGATCTTTTGTATCTGGAACAGTGCTTTCCCAACAGAGATGTCAATGAAAATATTCTTCCTATTTCATTTTCTAATAGCTTCCTAGGAAGTGGGTGTATTATCAGTAGCAGAGAGCCAGCTAAGTGCTCATCCATTTATGCAACAGTTTCTGAGCATCTACTATGCCCTGGGCACTGTGCTGGGTGCCAAGGTCCCTGTTGTGAAGCCTACATTCTAGAGAGAGGCAGGCATTAAACAGTAGGCTGATGAGGAAAGTAAAACAGTGACACGGGAAGAGTGACTGAGGTGTGGCAGGCGCCATTCACTGCAGTAAGGTGGTGTATGGAAGATCTTCCTAAGGAGGTGACACATGCAGGGAATGCTACGAGGAAAGCAGCCCTTCCTCAAACAGGAATGGCAGAAAGAAACTGGGCATGTAAGAAGTGGGGAGCAGAGTAGGCCAGCAGAAGGAACAGTATGAGCAAAGACCCGAAGGTAAAAGCGAGTGTGGAGGGACGGAGGGACAGGAAGACCAAGGCGGCTTGCAGCTGTGTGTCCCAGCGAAGAAAGGCAGGAGACAAGTGGGAGAGGCAGGCAGGGCCGTGAGGCTCTGCGGGCCACATATGGAGCCGTCACAGGGTTTCGCTGAGGGGACAAGGTGGTCTGTTTCCACTGTGAAAAGACGGATCCGGCTGCAGAGACAGGGAGAAGGCCCTGCAGATGTCCGGGTGAGAGAGGGCAGGGCCCGGTCGGTTCGCACACACCTTGTCCGGAGGGGTCCCTGCTGGGTCTCACAGGCACAGAAAGAGGCTCACTGAAAACTTTCCCTTCCCCTTCAACAAAAGCTAATGTTTATGAAGTTAGATTCGTTTTCCCTTGATAATCTACTTCTGAGGCTTTCACTGCCTTTCTCTGAGACCAGAAAACAATCTCAAAAAACAATACAAATTAGTATCTATAATTTGATGGACACAAAGCATTTCTGGTTCCACTAAAACATTATGTGGCTTTAAATTTCATAATATATAAAAATATTCACAAATATATAGAGTAATATAAAATATACACATATACATGTGTATGTATGTATCTTAACCTCACAAAGGGAGATTTCTTTGTTCTCACATATTAAAGTTTTATTTTAAAAGATAATTATAAGTTAGTCCAATGTATTAACTATTGGCTTCATTAACTTAGAGGGAGACTACTATGAAGTCCTTATGTGAATTTGTACATTTTCCCATTTTCCTTCAAAAGAAAAGAAATAGCACAGTGAGGATAAGAAATAGGAATCCTTCCTAAAACATTATTTTAAATGATGGCATTCAACAAGTAAAGAGAAGACAACCTACCTCTGCCTCAATCTCCGCTTGCCTCTTCTCCAAGAGCTTGGCCACAGCCATCGCCCTGTGCTTGCCTGACCGTTTGCAGCTCACAGCCCATTCACACAACAGCGTCACCACCGCTTCATCACTGGGGGCCACCTAACGACCAAGAGAAAGGGGTACCAGCCAGATCAAAGGAGACGGTCACCCAGGGAGAGTCAGGAAAAGCAAGCAATGCAATTATCTAAAGCTCGGAAAGCTTTTTTGTTACATTAGTCGTTTTCCAAAGTGTTTCCAAATCTTAGTTGTAATTGAAATACAAAGAGTAAAACTTTAGTCCTAAGGAAGAAAATCATTTACTCAGAACAGGTGAATCTGTGACATTTCCAAGAGAATTAGAATTTCATAAGCCTTCACCTACACAGGACCATAACCTAGCCCTATCAATCCTCCAGAACTCAATTTCAAAAGTCAACAGAAAGGGAAACAGACCAATGAATATTAAGAACAGCTGTTACAAAGCCCCAGCTCTTCACTCCACTGTTAACGCCCCTGGGCCCTCACTCACAGCCAGGATCTCGAATTGCCCAGTCCAGTGAGAAACTCAGAGAAACAGAGTATGGAGGCGGGTGGGCTGCCAATCAAAGACCCACTGCAACAAAAACAACACATGTGAAAAATGACTGCCAAAAACATCCAAATAAAATGAAAGTGAAAAGCAGACACAGTCAACAAATGACAGTGCCCTGGGTCTGTGCAGGGCTCAGCATTGCCCCTAGAACATGAGCTGTCCTTGCCATGGCCCATCCGCGGGCCCCACCAACTGAGGGTGAGAGGAGTCAAAGGCAAGGCACAGGGACCCGTTCTGTGAATGAGGGGAGACAGGACGAGGTAAGTCAGCAGTGGGAGCATCCTTCCACGCAATCTGGCCTTTCCTCTCAGAGGGTCCACGCCAACCAATGCAACATCACCTGCAAGTGTTTGATTTTTGCCCCACTGTATAAACGCTGTACCAAAAAAATAGCATTAGCACTGACATGCTGTATGAAATGTTCTTAATGTTTTAAAAATGATCAGCTCAGAGGGAGGTTAAGAATAGTATGGGGAATGGAAAAGCCAAAGAACTTATGCACATGGACATGAACCAAGGAGGGGGAGCACTGGTGGGAGAGGCCTACAGGGCAGAGGGGAAAAAAGGGGAGAAAAAATGGGACAACTATAATGACATAATCAATAAAACATATTTAAAAAATAAAATCCATAAACTCAATTAACATCACGATAGCTGTGAGCACATTGCCTGGAAGAATATAAGGGTTTGGCAAAAGTAGGTTTGACAGCTGTTCATATGGAAAATACATAATACAAGAATAAATCATAATGCAAGAATAAACTGCTTCACGTGCTCTAAATTGTAAACCCACTTTGCCAACCCTTGTATACATGTGTGTATTCACACACACACACACACACACACACACACACATTTAGTACACTGCAGATTTGTGAACTGTGAGAAGACAACCAAGAATCTCAGGATAAGAATCCCTAATCAGCTTTTAAACACAAGTAAACAATTCAGATCATAAAAATCAGTTTATCCCAAAATTCTCATCCATTCTACTCCCTAAATTTCATTAAAAACATCTTGACTCATAACAAAACAAAAAAAGTTAAGTTATCTGGGACAGATATTTCAAAAGGAGCTCTAGCTCTCTTGATTTAAAGCAAGAGAAATAATCCAATTAAAATATACAAAGATTGAACATAACATTTAAAAAAAGAAAGTGAACTGGGAGGAATTCCAGCCTGGATTCAATCTAACCCAGAGGAAAGAAAAATATAAAAGCCAGTCTAGTGAAGCACCAAATGTTTACATTTAGAATATTAAAGAGAACAAAAAAGGCACCCTAAAGACACTGCCACCAATATTTAATCAGCGAACCTAGTGCGTAACGTGCACCATATCCACATCCACACAGTGTCTTACTTTCCTCTGCATCAGAAAACTCAGATGAAAGTATGCTACAAAAGGATAAATAGTTGACACACCCAATTTAAGTAATAGGTTCTGCTTGAGCTAGAGATGTATAGAAAAGTACATACAAAGGAAACAGACTTCTTTTTAAGACATCCAGATATGGCCACTGGTTTGGAGTAATATGGCCAGTGGCCAGAAAACAAATCCTAGGAAGGAGTCGACCCAATTTCTAAAAGCACTTAGAAAGTACCTATAAGAATGTACGGGCTGGAAAACAACAGTTTAAAAGATCTGGTCCCTGTTCTCAAAAAGTTCAACTTACAGCGGGAAAAGCAGAGAAAATTAATCATAAAGCAGCGAGAGATTTTTAATAGGATGGAGGAGAAAGTAATCAAGTCTCACGGTCTGCACTTTCCGTATCCCAAAGAAGGTGAGTGTCCGTCTGTCCCAGCTGACAGACATCTGGGAGCTTAACTGGAAGACAGGCCCGCAGTCCACCCAAAGTTATAGTCTTGATGTGGGATTACTCGGAATTAAGTGAATTCAAAAAATCAGAGGAAAATGCTACTGAAAGACTGAGTTTTCAAAATTTTATCACAGAAATTTTCCTGTCTTCCTATCAATTGTACCCATAACAAGTTATACACTTAAATTCTATTTTCAACAGAAAGGTATTTTCCCACAATGTCCAGATTCCAAAGGGGCAAAGTCCACTCCTTTCCCAATATCGCACAGCCCGCCAAATGATGCCCCTCTTTCCTTGGGACTCTGGACTCGGAGGGCAGGGTCTGTGCCGATTTTTGAAGACAGGAAGCTATTACAAAAGAGATTTGATAGCAACCTACACTAACTTCTCAGAAGATCATACTGGAAAATCAGATTATATTATACCAACTTGGAAAGCAAGCAATCTTTGTAACATGAGTAATCATATATTTATATATTTGGGTAATAAAACTTGCCATTAGCTCTTTATTATTAAAAATAGTTATAAACTAAATTTTTGTAATTTTAGCATTATTTTTCAAAATAACATCATGTTCAAACCTTTTTCCCCTATTTACTATAAAGTTTTGGTCCACATGTTAAGTGGATTTACCACTAATGATCAACAATAATGGGAATATTTTGCTTATTTGACTTTCTACACCAGTTCCAGGGTACATCCCATCATTTTGATCCACACAGACACCCACAGCTCATGGTCACCACATACCAATGCCTTGTACCCTTCCCCATTGCTCTGCACCAATCAACTGTTAGAAAATTATCAGAAGGTCGCTTCCATTTGTTGGCCAAATTAACTTCCTGTCACCAGGACATCATGATTTCAAATATATAAGTTGAAATGCACTTTCATCCTAAAAACAAATTTCTAAAAATATTAAACTTCTTTTCCTTTAAACAACCAATAATTGTTTAAATGAAACTTAATAAATATTATTTTAACATATAATAACTTAAAGGCAAAAATTTGAGGTATTTTAGTAGTGCAAGATAATGAACTAAATACAGGCCCTGCCTTCAACAAGATGGCAATTAAGTGGAGCAGACACACATGTATGTAAATAATGTAGATGAATAGAAAAAGGACATGAAAATTATCTCAGAAACACAATAACATTCACTAGGAGCACAGAGACAACTGAAGGGATTTATTAGATGTTTCTTTTAGAAGGTAGCATTTAAGAAATATCTTAAAGAATTAAATTTCAAAACAGAGATGAACAAAAGCGAAAACAAAGTCCGCGGCAAGCCGAATGATGACCACCCCACCCCTAAAGACGTCCTCATCCTAATCCCAGGACCTGTGCATATGTCATCTTAAATGGCAGTAGTGGCTCTGGACTGTGATTAAGTTGAGGGCCTTGAGATGTGGGGGGTATCCTGGATTATATGGACGGTCCTTACGTAATCACGGGGCTGCTTAATTCCTTCCCATTCGAAGGGAAGGGAGGGGGAGAGTCGGAGAAAGAACCGTGACAAAGGAAGCAGCAGCTGGAGTCAAGGAGGGACGTGAAGATGTGCCTTTGCTGGCTCTGACCATGGGGTGAGGGGACACACGCTGAGGCCTCAGAAGACGGAAAATGCAAGGAGACGATCCTCCCCAGGACCCCCTGGAAGGAATGCAGCCTGACCAACAGCTTGATTCCAACCCGGTAAGGTCACAACCTCCGGAACCAGGAGAGAGCGAATCTGTGCTGTTTTACACCACCATGTTTCTGATAACTTGTTACAGCAGCATTAGAGAGTCAAGTTTAAGTAGTCTTAAGCAAACACATAAAAAGTGGAAAACACAGTTGTGGTTCAAAGAATTACAGCAGCAGAGGACTGCTGATTAAATTAGAAATATAAGAGGCTACAATACAAAATTAAAAATCTGGAAAAATAGTTTCATGATAACACACTGAAAAAAGTACCATGAAATTGGTAGCCTCGCTCATTCACTTACTAATTCATTCAATAAATATGTATTTGTCACCTATTACCAGGTCCTAATCTAGGAACTAGCTATAAATAGATTCCCATGCATCACTTTGAAGGAATAAAAATCGGTGCTTCCCTTTTGAATGTAATTTCTATTATATAAACAAGAGTCTTAAAAGTTCATATTATTCGCTCCAATAATTCAATTTCTGAGAATATAGCCCAGGGAAGTTATCTTAAAGTAAAAAGATATGAATGCTCCAAGCATCAGTGAAGCGTGCTACCAAACCTCTCTCCATCTCAGCCAAGAACTGGAGAAGATTCCTTCTGAAAACTGAAAACTGAAAGGGGCACGTGAAGGGGTCAAATCAATAAAAGCAGAGCGACCTTGCAGGGAGAAAACAGTCCATGCTGAGGGTTCATCGGCACAAGCCGATGGAAGTACGAAAAATGTTGTGGGACTTGTTTTTATTTTTATTTTTCTGCACACAAATGGTGATATTTCATTACCTAAATAAAGACATATAAATATAAGAAAGGTAGATAGGAGAGGCTTTCAAGTAAATAGAGAAAAGGGGAGGTTGAAGATGCATGATCAGCAATAAATTCCAAGTCCTCCCAAAACCAAAAGGGAGAGTTCTCAGCCCTCAGACAAGGTCTGCCCACCATTCTTCTTTCTCCCAGCAGCTGCACCCTACTTTTCCTGGGAGTACTGTTTTCCTCCTGCCCCAGGTGGTGCAAGGAGGGGTAA